TGGGGTGGGGGGGGTGGGGGGGTTAGCACTAGGACCAGACAAGAGGGGGAGGTTATGAAAAAGGGCCAGGAAGTTTCCTTGGGCCTTCTTCCTAGTTCTGAGTGACAGCAGCAGAGGCCAGTCTGGGTTGGATGTGACGCTTCATGTCCAGCGTGATTGCTTTAAACATATCAGCCAAGACATGAGGTAACTTACTTTGGTTACTCTGTGTGTAATGTTTTGTTTAATTTAATGTATAAAGATAAACTGCAGGGAAGGCTGACCCCTGTTTTTCCCAGACTTATCACTGTCTTCTACTGCTCCATTTATATGGGCCATTTTTGTGCTGGGTTAGTAGGGAGGCCTGAGTCGCGAGGCAGCCATACGTTTACACACATTCAGTGTGTGGTTTGAAGACACTTTGGCTCGCTGCATGTAGGGAATTTTGAAGTGGTGCCAAACATGTTCCATTCAAAGTGGACTGTGTGTCTTAAAATGCCTGTATATCTGATGATATTTGCCTTGTTTTGCATTATAGTCCACCCCACACTGTTTTTTTGATTGTTTGATTCATCTTTTAGATGTGTCTCATTTCCTTTTTGGGCTTAACCTGACTTTACTGGTATTTAATCAAGTGAGAATGCTTTTTTTATTTTAATGCCTTGTGAGTAAATTGTTAGTTTTTGGTGGAGCAGGCTCTGGTTCCAGTTTATTCTGGGTAAACTGAATATTTCTGTGATCACAATCAGAAACTGGTTTGGGATACCGTAGTCTCAGCAGCAGTGGTCTCAATAATAGATAAAAATGACTTGTTATATGAAGCCTTTGTGAAATGTAATGGTCACTTACTGTAAGTTGTGGCCATGGTAGTAGGTTAAAAAGAAGAAAATGTGTTAATCATGAATTGTTAGTTTCGTATGAGTTTTGTATTGCATACGTTATGTATTTTGTTTCTGTGAAGGAATCTACAGAAACCAAAAATCTTCCAACATTTGATCTCGTACATGCACTGCGTCACCAGGCACCAACAAATAGGAGGCTGGTTTGTTTTTAACACCTCACTTTCTTTCATCAAACAGATTTGTGCCAAGCCTGAACAAAGATTCTTAATAGCTGGAGGCCTATTGTGTATTTTATTTATTTCGATTGTAGTCAACAACTTGGCAGTGCTGGCTGTGAGTAAAAAAGCAAACCCCTCCTGATGAATCACAAGCCACATGCATGGCTGCTATTAAAGGCCTGGACACAGATAACGGCGGGGCCATGCCACTTTTAACCAGAGGCGGTTGGAAATGGAATGGACAGCTGCACACTGAGACAAAACATCAAAACACCAGCCACAGATGTACGCAATTAGCAACATGGTAGACATTTGGGGAGCAAAGGTCCATAAACTCGCAGCTTATTATGGTTGATCTAAAGCGGCTGGAAGAAAGCCTAAACGCAACATTAACAGGTTTTACTCTGAGCTGAAACTTTCCACCATGCAGAATCTGGTGTCAGTGCAGTTCACCCTAAAATCTTTCCCAGACCTTTAATATCAGTGTTCTATTCTGACACCAAACTGACATTTTCAGTGCACGCTCAGTATGTGTGTGTTGACTTGGAGAGTGACACAAATAGGTTGGGGGGAGGGAGGAAACGTCACACTCAACATGTGCCCTGTCATTAGGAAATGCTACACTTCCTGTTGGTGTAAATATTTTCCTATTTAGTTTTCCAAGAGAGCGGGGTAGAATAATCAAGCCTGACCTCTCTGCCCTCCTGTTTCCTACTTTATCACGTGTGAGGCTCCTACCTTCTGCTGACCTGCCACTGGCTACGGGAGAAAGGTTAGTCAGGAATGGATGGACTCTCCTAAGGCCACAAGCAGCAGGGTAACACTGGTGGGGCCAGTTTAAACTCAGCAGAATCAACTCCATGCAAGACAAAAATACCTTGTTAAATTCTTTCACATTTTAAGAGCCAATATCACCCGAGTACCATACAGCTAGCAGACTATGGAAAATAAGTTCTACTGTGTTTGCCATGAGTTATTATTAAAATCTGACAAAGCTGTGGGATTTTTCCAGATCTGTCTGCAACTTCAAAATATTAGATTATAAATTGTTCAGACCCATGTTTTTCTTAGCTTTTTGGAATGATGCCTTTAAAATCCCAGTAAAACATTGCATCGTCTATCTTTTATCTTTTATTTATAGTTTACCTGTGTTGCCAAAGAGACAGACAGTTTGATTTCACAGTATTCCTCCCTAAATAAGAGTAATCTCTGGAAATTCTCTGAGGCATCTGTGGCCTGTGGCTCTGAACTCTTGACTTCTTAACATTTTATACTCAAGCATTTGCTGTACTGCAGAGTAAAAATGCACCAGGAGACTGGTTTGTAAACTGTGACACAGTTTAGCGTCATTACTTGTCGTTACTTCCAGATAAGGTTGTCTAATCTGCCCTGTTTTTGTTAAAGATGTTGCTGCATTCCCAGACATCAGCAATTAGCTTTGAGAACAATGTTATTATCACCGCTAATGGCCAAAAGTACCAACATAAGACCCAACTTGTTATAAATATCCTTTAGGGCCCTCAACCAGCACCTAGAGCAATGTTTTTGGCTTCTTGTCG